TTTGTATCACTACCCAATTATACTTGGTTGGAATTTGGAAGTTTAATTTGATTGATTCTTGGATTCACTTTTGAAAAGTAAGATGTTGTTTCAAGAGCTTTTCTAAGTGTATGTTGAAGCGGATTAACAAACCAAATTGGACAAGAATTTATGTGACCAAATTTTGGTACAATCCAAGTTAAATTTGGTTTCCAATTTTGCGAGCTACTTCTTATTTCCAACTCAAAGGCTATTTCTTGATCCGTTTGAAGTTTTTTTTTCACGGATCACAACTGATTTTCTGATTCTCAGCCTCTTTTTTTTCAGATCAAGAATTCAAGAATTAAACAGCCCGAATTTTCAAGTTCAAGATTGGAAACTAAGTTTCTAAGATTTCAGATTTGGAAACCTTTGTATCAAGATCTTCAAGAGCCCAACTATGCAATCCAAGAACTTCAAGAAAATACCAAACCCACTACAAGACTCAAGAACAACAAGAGACAAACACAAGTTATGCAAAAAAAAATTTTGGATGAATAGTACTGCTACAGTGACGCTACAATACGTGACAATATTGCTATAGGAACATGAACAGTACATTTTTTTTACTCAACAAATAACACAAACAAGAAAATAGGTTACGGGCTCAAACAAGAATTGACATAACAAGGAACCAAGGAATAACTAGAAACAATGAATAAAACTATGGAGGTTCAAACCCTAAAGCTGGAACCTTTTTTTTTGAATTGGGTAGGGTTTGGTAGAAGAACAACAAGGAAAACAAGAAAAGAAAAGGATATTAACTTGGATCGAGAGACGAAACTCTGATACCAACTAATGTGAAACCGAATCCCTAAACTCCCACTCTTGAAGGAACAAATTACATAGGCAGCAGAAGATAACAAATTGCACAGGCAATGGAAGGATCTATCTTGATCAAGTTATGGATCAAAATTGATGGAAAAACCTTGACCTCTCTAACCCCTGAGGTGTGAACTTTGAATCTAATCGTAACCCGCAGCCTAACGAATTAGTAAACCAAGAGTTATTGGTAAAATGGAGCCACAATTTAATGTCATCTTGAATTGATAAGCCAAAACTTGAACAAAGGAGCCACAACTCACTTTGACAAGAAAGAGGTGTCTCTCTCAAACTTTATTTCTCATAATTTTCTTCCTCTTGAAAACATCATAAGCTTGGTTATTTATAGCCTTACAAAAGACGAAACCTAATCTAAGGTGGAAACAATGCAAGTTATCTTATTTGACTTGACTTCTAAACTTGACACAATTTCTTAAACCTTAATAATACTAATATTTATGTCTAGATATGCTGAATATGTCTTAGTAGGCTCACAAGACCCCAAACAAACATTAGGAAATAGAAAATTACTAAAAACTATGAAAATTGCTAAAACTTAGAAAAGTTGGTCTGACCATAACCGTGGACGGTTTCTTGGCGGTTTCTCCCACGGTTTGTGTCCAGAATGTCAAAACTAAGGCAAAAATGGAATACACAAGCTGAATACGCGGGGTTGGTCGCGTATTTGAGGTCGCATTTTAGCTTTTATGCTGTTTTCCTGTGTTTTCTTAAACCACGACCCAGGCCAACCTCTTGATTTGAAGCTTCACTTGTTAAATCATAAACATTGACACCCTAGGAATGAAGATCACATCTTGGATAGTTTCCATGCTCACATCATCATATCTTGCACTCTTGAAGGTAACACTGGATTCGTATCATCGTTGGCCACTTTATTGGTAATTGAGGACCCTCCACATATGCTATTATCTAAGTTTTATGGCACTGGGGGCTAGAATGTGGATAACTTGAATTAGTGGTTGCCTCGACACTTGGTTCAACAAATACTTCAATTACATTTGTTGGGCTTGCAAGAGGATGTCATGTTTTGGTTGGCATCATCCACTGCCGAGTTTTCTGTTAAGACTACTTGGCATCAAGTGCGTCTACAACGAAACTTGTCTATGGTAAACAGTTTAATATGGAGTAGTAGTCTACCGTTAAATATATCATTCTTTTCATGGTGAGCTCTGCGCAATTTGTTGCCACTGAATCTCAATCTTAGGAGATGAAGCATCGTGCTTGCTTCCATGTGCAGTTGTTGTTTGCAACATGAGGAGTCATTGATACATCTTTTCCTGGATGCACCTATTGCTTCTTAGGTTTGGAAGCATTTTGGTGGTCGGTTTGGTATTCTTCAATTTATGCAATCTTCCCTATCGGCAATGTATATGTCATGGCTTTCTTCAAATTCTTGGGTTCGATAGATCATACAAGGAGTGCTATGCCTTCTATGATTATTTGATTTTATGGAAGGCATGCAATCAAGCACGGTTTGATGGTGGTCGCATTGAGACTCGGTTGGTTATTTTCATGATCGAATGTTTCATGGAACAGCTTGATTAGCGTTCAAATCCTTACACTTTGCAGGTGATCTGAATTAGCCTTGGGCTAACTTTGTTCTTCGTCAAAGGAAGCTAAGCAGGTGGTTAACTATTGCTTGGAGGCAACCAGATCTTCACCTTCTCAAACTTGACACTGATGCTCGTGTTTCTCAAGGAGTTGCTTTGAGAGGTGGATTGCTTCAAGATCACAATGGGAGGTTGATTTTTGCTTTTAACAAGGAGTTTGGAGAAGTTGGTGTGTTGATAGTTGAGAGCTCAACATTTCTGCATGGCCCTTCACTTTGTAAAGAGCGAGCTTTGGAACGTGAATTGGTTGAAGTTGATTTCGAAGCTTTAGTTCGGATGTTGCACTCTGGGCGGTGGCTAAGTGGCCACTATGTAATGTCTTGCGGAGATTTAGAGCCTCGTTAAAAGACTGGCATCAATGGTTTCTCATATTTATAGGGAGACGAATGGCACGGCAGATAAGTTTGCGAGTTTACGGCTTCAGTCGAAATTCGTTTTCTTCGATTCATCAACTTCCTAATGAAGTAAAAGCTTCTTTGGAATTAGATTGTAGACAATTTCCTTTTGTGCATTGACAAATTGCAAGGGAGTGGTACTCCTGATTTATGCTTTCCTAATCATTTTGCAGGCTCCGGCTCCTCTACAACTCTTGTAAATTTTGAATATTATTAATAAAATAAGGGGTTGGCATCTCCACCCTTTTTATGGGGATTTCCCACTAAAAAATATTTTAATTCTGTATCTGATATTAGTAAAATCATAGACTGACCTCCCAATCCCATATAGAGGGATTGATATTAAAAAACCATTTTAATTTTATTTTGGTACCATTAAGTAATGAAAATATAGTGAATTTGTGAAAAACATAGAATTTTCACTATTACAAATAAGAAAACTATTAAATCAAGAAACAATATGTTGATTAGTCACTATAGTTTATTTTTTTAGAATAATAATGCAATTTTACTTCCCGATAGCACATAATGGTTTTTTACCATTGTAACCTTCATTTCACATAATAATTGTTGAAAGCAAAGAATTTGTTTTACAAAAAAAAAAAAAACAATTTGAAGAGTGTCAACGATTAAGTTTTCAAAATGAAAAAGGAATGACTTTTTATCCATTTGAATATTTTCGTAATTAAAGGTAGAAAAGTTTTTTTTAGCAATGCAAAAATATTTGTTGGCAGTACATGAAATTTAAAGATCAATTGATAAATATACTTACAAAGATTCTACCAGCTAAGAACTTTTATAACTCATTGGACAAGTTGGGGATGCTTGACATCTTATAACAACCTTGTGGAGAGTGTTAGAGTGAGTTAATAAGATATATACATATTTTTTAAAGTTCAGTAATTGTACATCAATTAGGGATTAGATTAACTTATTTATGGAATTATATATTGTAAAGTTTGTTGTACCTTATTTCAATATAAGTCTATAAATGTAGGCTCTGTATGGATTCCCCTTATTTTTTTCAGAAGTTATGTTTGTTTGGGGAGATTATAGTAATAAACTCCAAAAATAACTTCAAAATCAACTCCAAAAACACACAAACTCAAATACACCTAGAAATAACATAAAAAATTAAATAAAAAAATTCCCACATTTCTTCGTCCACACACTACATACCACCACAACCCATCACCCCCTGCCTCTTCCACCATCCCTTCCTCCTCCACTGCTGCCAACACCCTCCCCCTTACTTTTCTTTCATCCCTCCCCTTCCTCCTTCTCCCTCCTCTCTCTCCTACATCCCTCCTCCCTCTTCCCCTCCATGTCCTCCCTTACAAAACACGCCCTTTCATCATCACCATTAGAATCATCAATAGTCCTCGAAGAATTTGTTTTCAAACTATAAACATCAAACCAAGTCTGTCCATCTGTGCAGCCACCGTTTTGACGGATTTTAAACACTTATAGTCATCGTTGATGTCATCATACCCGAAAGAACAAGCTTGAGCACATTCCCTTTCTGGACCAAAATCTGGCAATTTTTTGCACTTCTGAATTGATGAGTGTGGGAATAAAAGATACCCACACTCATCAATACAAACTAACCCATTGGAAGAGCCCACATTTCTCACCGGTGGCTGTGGCAGACCACCAATGTAGGTTCTTATATGCTCTTAGTGGTAGTTGCATGTAGCGCACAGTGGAGTGAACATTTCTCCAAGAAAAAAACCTTGCTCCCATCTGGGTAAGTGGGGAGGGGAGGAAGGTAAAGAATGAGGAAGAGGAGGGAGGATGGAGAGGGAGGAGAGAGGAGGAGGGGGCAGGGTGGTGGTGGGGTGGAGGAGAAGGGGGTGGCGGTGGCTAAAAGTGATGGGTTGGGTTGGTGAGTGATTGTGGTAAAAGTTATTTTAACAAAAATTAAAAAAAAACCAATAAATTAAATTTTAAAAACACTCTCAAATATATATATATAAAGTGTTAATTTTTTATATATACCGTTACAGTGAATTTTTTTTTAAAACGCCTTATGTTCTTATAAAATGTTGATATGTATGGAAAATATTTTCTCCCATATCTAGCTGTCATATTGTCATATACAAGCAAGAACAAACGAGGTCATATAGATTGTTATATATATTAGTGGAATACCAAAAGACCATAGATTGTTATACTTCTTTGTTGATCAAGCAGCTCCTTCCATACTCCAGAGACATCAGACGATGCAGAAATTTTGTATCTTTAACTATTGTTGGGTTTGAGTTTAGAAACTCAACCAATTTAGACAGCCAGATACAATCACGCACATGCTTCAGAGTTTGTGAATCCAACAAATTCTGTCCCATGCATGAAATCTCCACCTGTCAACATTATTACTTAAATAGACAGACAGCTAATTATTACTGCAATTAGTATGAAAGGAAAATCGAAAGTTATGGAAGCTCACTATTATTAATCACTAATTCTCTCAAACCTATCACTTTTTTCTAATTTTTTTTTCCAACAGGAAAGGGTTGAAATTTAAGAAGTGGGGAGGGGATAGAGAGATTAGAACTCAAATGCTCTAACTTCTGGAACCTTAACTTTACCCATATGACTTAAATCTCACCAACTTTCAAACTTATCACTATGTTATCTCTTTATCTTTCAATTTTAGTATATCCATCCCTATTTTGAAAATACTCAAGCGAAATTTTGAAATCTCAAACGATGATAAGTATCGATTATGAGACATTTATACGTTTATATAACTTTCAAAATTATAATGTTTGCGATACTATTAGAATCCTAATACAAAAAGGAACCCGTATGTTGCACGCTATCAACAGTAGATGAAAGTTTGTGGTTTTAGGAAGGTGCTAAATAACTATAATTTCTTTTTCGGACATTTCATACATTATTTAACAATCATAAAGTAAAATGCTTAATTAGAAATTAATTCAGTAGCAAATCTGAATTCTAAAATTTTTTAATGAATATGATCACTAATATATATAAATGAAATAATCAAAAGAATACTGCATTTATTGTACCAACTTGTGCATCTAGCTTTGACTCCAACTTTGTAATGACTGTTTTCAATTCTTTTCAAATTTCATCAAGATTAAACACACGTGTTCCAGAGTATTGAAAGGCAAGGTTCAAAAAATAGCCATTTTTGCTATATCCATTGCCTCATAAATAATTGGCAAAGTCAACTTATTATCTTGACCAATAATTTTTAAAACTTTGAATAGGGGCTCCATTATTGAACATATATTTCTGACAAGGCAATACAATTATTTCACAGACAAGGCCCTGCACTTTACTAGTTCTCAAAATCTAAAAACTTCGTTTTCAAAGTTAAATAGCACGTCAGAAGGATCAACTTCACTTTACATCTTTGCACAGAAGAGTTGTAACACATCAACATTTTTTAAGTTGGCCTTGATACTAATAATGTTCATGCAGACGTTATTAATCCCAATTTGGCCGAACTTAAATAACATATCGTTCAAAAACTTAAATGATCAGGCCAAACACAAATTTTCAAACAATTAAAACATAAAACAAAAATCTGATCAAGTGGAAACAATTACAACATTTTTATCTTAACACAAGGATGGACAAGTTGCAATATGTTTTCAAGTTGCAGCACAGCTAGAAAGTGAAGTTTCAAATGCAAAATATTTCCTGAATTTTGGAGGCTTGGCTTAGTAGTATAATATGAGCTTTGTCCATTTAGGACTGCAAGGATGGACTGGAGACCAGACTCAGCAATTACCAAACATCAAAAACAGTGACGGAGCTAAGACATTTGTTTACAGGGGGCAGAAAATGTGTATTAAAAAATTAAAAATTATGGCTTTGCTAGTGTAGGTATAGAACTCTGCTTGACGACTAAGAACCCCCGGAAGCAAGTTAGAAAGGTTAGTTGGGCTTCCCTGCCCGTGATTCCAGCAATACTAATCTCTTGGGGCAATCACGAGATGGCTATGATTGCTAAGGGGGCAGCTGTGAATTAAAAGCCCTTGGTAGCCCCCCTTTTCGCCAGAGTATTGTCCGGCACGCGAAAACGAAGGGATCGGTTCCATACTGGTAAAACCGAGTTAATTGTCCAATCCTTGATCAAATTATACTCGAAGTAAAAATTTTGAAAAAAAGTTTCTGTAGTAACAAGTTCTTTCTTATAACTAGAATATCTTGATTAAACAGCAGCAAAATTAAGTTGTGAAACTTTAGTAAGGAAGCAATTATTTCTTAATAAATCGAAATATGCAGGTTATTTATTAATATAACTATTCATTTTTTTATCTTCTCATTCTAAGGGGGAAAAGTATAATTTGAATATTCTCTAGTATCAAACTTTGAAGAGCAATCTGCATAAACAATAATACTATAGATGAAAATGTTAGTTTTATATATTTACAGGCAGAGGTTTTCAAATATACAAATTTTGTCAACTTCACACATAGAAGAGCATTTGTATGTAGAACCAATTCGATAAATTTGAAATTTGGTAGATCAAAACTGGAAATGAAAACGAAAAAAACATTGATTGAAAGGTGCATGCATTTTAGCTTTAAACAAAATTTCCTTGACATAATAGATAAAGTTTTCAACAATTCAATATGATTGCTAAACTCATAAATAACAAGCATTATTTTAAAAGATGTTTTTGGGGCGAGTCTCTGGGTGAGCCCCGGGCCAAAGCATCCCAAGAGACATTTGAATGGGACGTAAGTGTTGTTGGATATTTGTCCCACCCTACAGGACGAACGCTCGGGCGTTCGGGACATTTTTGTATTTTAATAAATTTTATTATTTTATTTTCTTTATCTTTGTTTGGTGTCCTTATTATTTTTTAATAAGTTTGAAGAATGATTTCATTTATTTTGTCTTTGGAAATAGTTTGGAAAAAATACAAATAAAAGCATCCATGATTTTATTTCCTATTTTTTTTCCTTTTCTTTGATTCCAAAATAAAACTAGTGTTTGTTAACATAATTCTAGATGGCTAATGTATGAGTTAAAATTATGCTGTGATTTTACTTGTTCGACAATAATAATATTTTTATAATTTTATTAATTTTATCAATTTTATCAATTTTTGTACTTATTAGTAATATACATACATATATATACATATATGTATATATGAATGAATATTGTAATTTTATAGTATTATTATATATTTTAGTTTTTTATATATTTTAAAAATTAAATTTTGTGAGACTTACACCCTATGCCTCGGGGCTTTCGCCCCACTTGGGTGGACATAAAATGCCCTGCTCAACACCATCGCCTTTTAAAACATTAACAACAAGTTGAATTTCATAGATCAATTAACTTAATAGTAAAGTCAAAAGCATTAAAACACTAATCTCCTGGATTAGAAGTTCAAAGTCTTCATTAGGGTTAAATGCACTAAATCTCCTCGAACTTTACCCTTAGTTGCGCTTTACCTCCTCTGAACTCATTGAATAAGCACTTTGCATCTCTATTTGATATTTTAAGACAAAAGCGCCCTTATTATTTTATTTTGACTCTTTTTCATTTATTATTGTTTCTTTTCCACTACTTTTATTTCTATTTTTTCATTTTTTTCATGATTTTCTTTTAATCACTTCTCTCATATCACTATTTTATTTCACTTTCTTATTAGTATACCAATTTATATGCTTATTATAATATTGAAATTATCTTTTACTTATCATTTCAATCTTGTTATATTTATTTACACTATTAGAAAATTCAAAAAAAAATTGTATAGTATAAAAAATTAATATATGCTTGTCATAATAAAAAAGTGTATATTACTAGCAATTTGACTATTTCAAAGGATATTAGCGAACTAGAACTTTAGACTACTTAATGTTTAAAAGTATATACCAAAAAAATAAAGTAACTAATATTTTATTCACCTTTTTATGTGTATAGTTGATTAACCACTATATTATTATGATTTGAATTTGTTACAATTGTTATTAAAAATTAATTTACTCTAAACTCTAGACGTATTAATTTAAGTAATATATAAAATAGCTTATGCACATAATAACATATACTTTGTTATGACATAGATATCTTCTAATAACCAAAAGTAAAAAAGCCAAAAATAAATAAAAAATAAGTTTAAGAAGATTAAAACTAATATGTAGATAATAATAGCAACAAAGAGAAAAAAGTAGTTGATCACATAAGAAAAAGGAGGAAAATTAAAATATGGAAGAAAAGAGACAAGTAGGGAAAGAGCAAAAAAGGAGGTAAACTACAACTGAAGATAAAATTCAAGGGGCTTTAACGCTTTTAACTCTTTTCATCTAGCAAAAGCTAGGTAGAGAGAGACAACAGAATTTTGTTAAATTTTAAGGCGGTGAAAGAAAGACTTCTAATGAATATTTCCAAAGTAAATTTTCAAAACATTTTTTGTGGGGGGAGGGGGAGTGAGGGTCGGCGGCTACCCGCTAACCCTCTTTACTGGCTCCGCCTAGGATCCAAGACCTACAAATTTACTAGCATCTCTAGCTTGACTTTTAAACCCACTCCCCCCACCCCCCCCCTATAAAATAGTTAGAGCCTCCTTTCAAATTTCAATCCAAGTCACTTTATGAATAAATTATGATCAATTAACCAACCAACAAAAGTAGTTGTAAAGATAATATTCCTTCCATTCCACATAAAAAATAGACCTACTAGCTGTGGAAATGTACTAACCCTAATATAAGAAAATCGAAATTTTGAAAGTACTAGTTAAATGGAAGCCGTCTTTATGACTTAATGCAAAATTTAACCTTCTAGAGTCCCAGATTTAATAAGATTTACAGCCTTGATCCAACATAACTTTTGGTATTAATATTTTTGCGGCTGAGGTGGTTAATAGGAGGACGAATAGGTGATTTGTCAGATGCACCATTATTCCAAAGATTCTGAGTCTACGAGTCATTTTTGGAGCACACTTCTCGAGTTATGTCTTGACACATTTTGTTCGAAGTTCATCTTTTTGTTTGTTTATGTATTTCAAGGGCAGACATCTTGTATGCTTTTGGATATAGGTAGACATGCATCAAGCTTCCATGATTCAAATTGCAGATTGCACCTGAGTTCACGGACCCAATATTGAATATCCTGAATATTGAGCCATTTCAGTTGGGTACTTTTCACATGTTTTACCATGTGAGGACTTGAGCAAATCAAGGAAAACTTTGTCAGGCAATGAAAAATATAAATTAGGCATCATTTTATTGCAAAATTCAAGAGCAATTGTCTGGTCTATATCATTTTAAACAAATTTAAAAAAAAAAAAACAAAAGTTAGGCCAAAAAGGCCTACATATCATGAGAAGTAAGGGACAATTTTCACATTACAAAGTTTAAATATCATGAATTTTAGACTTTTATGTCCTTGTTTAATAAAAACAAATGGCAAGAGAAAGCTAAAAAGATTAGAAAATGCATTTTAGAAATTAATAAATTGAAAAAGGGGATTTTAAGTGCTGACAAATGATCTCACGTGTCTTGGTTCTAGTTGAAATTGAAGAAATTTCGTTAATTATCCACTTTCACGTAAAATTGAATAGATTATAGACCAAATTTGATTTGTGAAATAGATTGGAAACTAATTCTGCATATAAACTATAGACTGGGGATCAAAATTACAATTCCCCTTTTTTGAACCATTCATTGTTGGTTAGTCATCGTACGTCGTGGGATTGGGCACATACAGTTGAGTTTGGTGCGGTTAGATACACTTATTTTATTTCTTTTACATTTTGATACACTTATCATCTTTTGAGGACTCGGGAATGAAACTCAGCTTGTATGCAGCAAACTATAGATGCAGAATTCATTAATGTTAATATAGGAACCTGGAATCTTAGTAATCCAAATGGGAAAAAGTTATCCAAACACGGACACATACCAACACCAATTAAGCAACACCATCCTAATTTTATCTTTCTGCAGTACCATTTTAACCAAAATTAATTACTGGGTCCATGATAACTACAAGTCCAATAAACTAAAATACACTGTTTCAAAACTATACCATGGGAATGACATGGTTGATTACTGGAATTACACTAAAATTGAACTTTGCTTCCAAAACGCGCAACTTATCCTGTTTATAGTTCTTTTACCGAATGAAAAAGCTGCCAAGTCTCATCTTATATTTATATATATATATAGAATATCGTGGAAGTGTTTGGACTGGTGGACCGAAGAGAGAAGGCCTAATAAATCCAATTTTCAGTTTTTTTTCTATGAAGTTATTTTCTCAAAAGAATTCATCTGCAGCTTTTGCAACACACTCGGAACAAATTAAATGATCATGCATTGGAACATCATAAGACGCAGTCAGAAGAACTCAAATCCAACAGTTGATGATGATGATGATGATGAACTACTGTTCCTAACTTGTCAACTACTTGTACAATAAAACGCTAAAGTTTTGATAAAGATTCGGAAAGGAAGAACAAAAATGGTACCATTTCTTCTCATCATTTTACAGATTCATGCAACTGTCATCATTATAGATAGCAATAATTTCTCAACGAAGCACTAGAGAACAAAAGATAAAGAGTATGCTTAATTACCTCAGCTTCGTTGGAGAGACCAAGCTTTCTAACGAGGTACGTCTTGACCATGAAAACCGTCACATTGGAGTCTCTTTAAGGTCCCAAAAGAAAAAGGGACCAAAACCAAAAGGAAAAGCAAAGTCAGCTTTTCACTTGTCTCCTGAACATCATCATTGGCTTGTAGAAGTTCTAGGACCTTTTCTTTAATATTTTTCTTTCCTTTTTGTTTAACTTCTAAATTTTTTGACATAATCAATGTGTGACATTTGACATTATCCTGTCTTATGAAATCAACAAAAAGATTAAAAGATGTCTTACTTCACTCTGATGTACGGTTTAGGTATTTGAGGAAGAACTTTCCCTTCCCTGCAATTATCATAAATCTCTTTTCAGTAATAAGAAAATTATTTATTGCATTAGGAATACGTATTCATGATGAACATTTCATGCTAATATATCAAGCCCACAGAAGAAGAATAAAGTACTTGGTTTCTTGCATTAATGTTATGGATTGAAATTTCACTTTCATGACTTATCTATTTTGGAAAATTTTATCAGCTAATAATTATAGTTCTAATACCAACCTTTTCTACCTTAGAAGTTGAACTTAAAAATGTCCAAAAATATGCAATGATTAAGCTCCAAAAATTCGACAGCTTGGCCCAAAGTGACAATCGTTATGAGACAAATTAAGGAATTTCTGTACATTTCTAAGTTATCAAAAGGGGTTGCAGCCTCAACTCTCAACCATAGACAAATACTGATAGTGTGACGCTACAATCTGCTGAAAATGAAAACAGAGAGAGGAACAAGATACCGGTTACTGGTGGAGAGAAGGGTAAACCACAGACCAGGGTTAGGTCTTTGTGAATAATGATTTGCAACATTGGGTGGCCTGGGGAACAAGCTATGAGAGTCAAGAAAGTTACTTGTTGCAGAGTTTAAATGCAGTTCTGAAGCTGAAATTGGCAGATGATCCTTCCTAAACCACAAATGCCGATTTTCCCTCCAAAGTTCGTGATAAACTTCAGGGCAAAGATCGTCAGTTTCACAGCCTATACGCAACCTTAATGCCATTTGTTGGCCTTGTATTGAAGAATGTGAAGGAAAACACGAAGATGATGATGATTGAAAGGCTGAAAATGAAGACTTTGAACCATGTATCATAGCTAAATTAGAAGCATCATCTGAACCAAAGCCTAAAGCAAGCTCAAGCCAATCTTTCTTTCCTCCTTTGCCTTCCTCTTCTTTTGACAAATCACACCTTTCCTGAGTGCCATTTGATGAGGAAGACATAAGTTTTTTCTTTCCCTTCTTGTACTTGAAGCAAATGTATTCTTGATGTATTGAGGATAGGGTTTGTGTTTCCCTTTATGGAATGGAAATCTAGTCAACTCTTGGTCCCAATATGGGCAGAAAACAAAAATATAAACATCACGAAGAATTGCTGTCCTTTATTATGCTACAATTTATTTATTTTTTTGGGTATGGAAATGGATGACAAAGATTTTCCAAGTGTCTCTTCGGTTGCATGTATTGTTATAGCTTTTTTTCCCGTCTCTTTAGGTATCCCAATTGGATCCCACACTGAATTATAGAAGGAAAGTTAGTGAATGTTGCTCTTTACCGATGCAATATCTGTCTCTTCTTTCTGTCTTTCTTCTTGTCGTGAGCATCTGAACAGTAACAGATCTGGATCCGAACCAAGGTGCATGCTGTGATTCTGTGAACTCCTTTATGTTCTTTCTTTCTTTTCTGCATACACACGCAAAAGCAGCAGATCTGACTGCTGAGTTATGACTACATGCGCATGATTTTGTGTGTGTTTCAGTGTGAGAAAGAGAGATTTGGTTGGAATGATAACAATGTCAAATGATTTCGCTTAGAAGTACTGTGCTTTAGGGTTACATGCGTGTAATATGGAGCCTGTCAACCGCTGTTACTCTTTAGTTCATTCGGAATGGATCTCTCGTGTGTGGTCCCATAAGACTAAATGACAGGACACGATAGATATCATGATTATGATTTGGTATAATCGTGTCCAATTATTGTACTTTATATAGAGTAATATTTACAATAAAGTTATATCCAAACGGAGCCATTATACTTCTTTTAATATTTAGTATGTACAGCCAAAATTCACATTTTGGGTAAATTAAAAAATAATTTATGAATGTAATAAGATAATTTAAATGGAAGAAGGAATGAATTGAATGACGTAGAAAAAAAGACTATAAATAAAAAATCAATTATTAAAAAAAAGTGACATGTAACTTATATAATACCTGTACACGATCGGCTACCTCCGTACTTTAATGACTAACGAGGGCGTTCAAGAAAGTTAGGACATTTTAATGCGCACCACTTTGGTTGGCTACCTCGTACGATAGTACAGTATGCAACCGAGATTTTGAGCACCCCATGCAAATGAAAGAGCGTGAATGAGCGACCGCAAATTTCTTCGGAAATTGTAAAAATTCCATAAAATGAAACAAAGGTTAACACCATTATAATCCCCCACTAGTTTGTAACTCTGTTTATGTACAGGGAAATATTTAGACAGTATACATGTGGCTTCAAATAAGTAAAATTGATTATATATCTCTTCGAATTTAGTACTTAAGTTATAATGCATAATTAATTGTGTGAAAACCCAAAATTTTCACATTTTTTCAGCATTATTTTATTCATTTGCCTACATTTTATACTTTCCTTGAAAATATTAAACTTTCTATGCATTTTTACAAGCAAGTACAGTTTTAAATTCATTTTTCTAGTATGAGTTAGTGTACGTTAAATTTTGAAACGCATTATCGATGTGAGGACCCGTAAAATTCCTTATATTTTTCTAAAAATACCATGTTATTTGGAAATTATTACTTTATAATGGCCTTACTACCCAATCACCCCACAATAAGTGCAAATGAATATAGAATTAAGGGTTTTTCCTTTTCATTTTCAAGTTAGTGCGAATTAGGGTTTTTACACCTATCCGTGGTGTGACTATCCGGTACGGAGTGTGGATCAAATTTGGTGATTAAGAGTGAGTTTTAGATGATATTAAGTGTGTGATTAGAAGTGATAATAATAAGTTAGTGATTATAAATTAAAAACCCTAATATACGCGATTTAAGGAAAAACAGGTTGAACCGACGGGTACCGTTTATTACCGGGTAAACACACCACTTGACCCATACTTTATTACCTTAATCTTCTCATTTTATTTCAGCTAATTAATCTTCAAAATATCTCATACATCAGCCACAATATTTGACCAAGAAAACAAGAGAGAAAAGAAAAAAATTGACTTCCAATCCAAGGGTGACATTTGTCCACTTTGACCCAAATTACTTCCTATCATTTTAACCTTCTTGAAGCTTCAATTGAGCCCCATTCCCAGCCCTCCAGCCGTGAGAGTGAGAGAGAAAACAAGAGAAAGAAAGCTCTAATTCCATCTTGGGTTTTGTTTGATTTAGTGAGAAAACAAGAAAACTAAACCGATTAACTTGCAAATTGAAAGCTTGGGAAGCTTAAGGAACCAAAAATTTCAAGGAGTAGTGGAGGATCACTCTTGCAAGGCCTTGTCTTGAGGTATAATGGCTGATCACCCTTTCTTTTCCATTAATCATGATTGAGTTGGGTATTAATGTTAGAATTGTGCTTGTGATGCTTGTTTGAAATGGTTTTGATGATTGGATGGATGAATTTTGAGTTAGGGTTTCGATTTATTCACTTATAATTCTTGTCGGTTAGGTGTTATATGGTGTATATATATGGTATTAATCTTGTAAAGGAGAAAGTAGTGGTGGTTTTAAGGTAAAAAAGTGAATTATACCTTGATGTAGCAAAATTCCAGATTTCTGGAAATTGAAGCTTCAGTTCTGCCCGGTTCTAGTTCCCTATGTTAGAGACCGAATTAGGCTTAGCATAAAACATGAAAGTTGTAGAGAATGATGTTTTATATTGCCTGCAAAATTTCAGCTCAATCGGAGCAACGAAATACCCCTGACTACCATAGGTTTAGTCCAATGGACAGTTTTGACATTTCATCAATCTGATCGTGTCTTTTCACCTTGATACATACTGAACTAGCATTTAGCCAAACATGAAAGTTGTAGTGCTATGTCTTAGCTTTCCAACACCCCTAGAATCACCTCGTTTGGACTTCGGTAGCCTGAGTTATGGTTGTTTACGCATAGTGCGGTTAACTAGCCCGAGTGTGAGATTTTGGTTCTGTAATTTGACATTTTGACTTAGATACACTACAAAATGGACTGAGTAGTCTTCATCAAAGTTGTAGGTATTTATCTTAGCTTCGAAACGGTATAAATTTCACCTCAATCCGATAAGCGTAGCCTCAGTTGTGTCCGTTACGCAAAACAACGTCAAATCTGTCTTTTGTTTCTTGACTCAAACTTCATTTCCGCACATGCTCCTAGCTTGATTTTGTACTTGTATGACTTGGAGCCTATGGAATGGCTATTGAAATGAGATGATTTTGTATATGACTTTGGGTTTGTTGAGGAAAAGAATGAAGCCATAAATGGTTGGAAATAGGTAAATACAAAGGGCGTGCTGCCCAAATTTATGCTCAAGAACTAGGTCGATATACTTGCGACTTGAGTAAGGCTCGAGAGCGAATACCACGTGAACTATCTAGGGTATTTACGTTTTCTTTGCCACTTTGACTCAAATAGCGATTTTAAAGTTTTACACGTGAGTATAAGTTTTACAAATATTTTACTTATGTCCTTTGGTTTAAATGTACTCTTTTCACTACCAAAACCATATTTATACTTTGTACTAGTACGTATTCGAATTTTCTTTGAATCACTTACATCTTTGATGGTTGAAGCATAATGTGTTATTTTGATTATATTAGGATTCCTTGATGATTGAGGGTGTTATCCGAAATGATATTTTGGACGTTATTTTGCGTAAATAGGTGAGTGTTCCTTGTTTGTTATATTTTCATTGGCTATGTGGCTTGTTCTTGATTATATGATTTGTTATGAACAAATGATAACATGTTAAATGTTTTCAATGATTGCTTCAAATGAGTTTTCTAGGCGAGTGTGTACTTTATCGCACTCGACCTAAATGAATGTGAAATTTTCAATGATTAAATAATGAAATGCTAGTTGCGCATGATGTAAGCCTTTTGGCTGAATCGAGCCCTGCCCTTCGTTACCGATCGACCCGAGCCAGAAGCGGACTTGGTCGGGCGATATGGTGACCTTGGGTGTGAACGTTTGGTATACTCGAGTATTACCTTGTTGTTGGGTGGAGCCTGGCCAATGTCCAGGAGGGGGTGAATGAAATGAACGAACGAATGTCAATGCAAACGAGGGTTTTACTTACAAAAATGCATTTTTAAATGATTGGAGGAATAAGGGGAATGATAGGAGAATGAACGAACGAACGAACGAACGAACGAACGAATAGCTCCCTGTGAGCCCGTATCCTTTTAATGAATGTGTTATTATCGCTTTCCATTGTAAATGTTTCTTGAACTATTGATACTCTATGATTAATGTATTGGATTGAATGTTTGATTATGTGTTCGGAACCTCACTGAGCTTTTAACTCATTCCTTTAGTTTTGTTTCCTTAACAGGGGACGGCGAGCCAGGACGAGAGCTCCGTATAGACTAGCCTAGTCGAGTTCTTTGATTTTTGTAATGGTTCTCGCCCTACCTTTCGGCACGGGTTGGATGTATGAAGGATTGAGAACCTTTGTATATCCGATGTTTGTACTCCCTTTTGAGATAAAAATGTATATAAGTTTCACTTTAAGTTTTGGATTGTTATTTCGTTTGATCCTGGGGTTTTATTTCGAATTTGATTGAGGTATGACTGAGTCCCGGCGAGAGTTGGGCAGGCGGTCCGCTGGACCCTTTGGTTCGCCTTAGGGGAAGGTGGGGCTGTCACAAATTGCACAAAATCCTGTACACAGTATCATAGGAATCTCAAGTAAAAATAGAAGAAGGAAAAATCACACTTTAGTCCCTAATAGTTGGGGGCTGAGCAATTTTCATCTCTAAAATTTCACTAAAAACATTTAGTCCTTATAGTTTCAGTGTTAACCAA